GTTAAAAGCGCTATATAAATAAAGGTGACTTGACTTGACAAGCTAGAGGCAGTTAAGGTAAACAACCAGGTAATGTCAATGAAGCGAGGTGCTTTTTGGGAATGTTAACCACCTTGGTAAATTCTTACCACATTTGGCAGCAAAACCACAGCCACTCAGAGACTTATTGAGAAAGTCCAATATGTGGGTTTGGGGGTCACATCAGCAAGAGGCCTTTGAAAAAAATGTAAGTGGAACTGACAACACCCCCAGGTTTGGTGCAGTATGATCCAAACAAGGATACAGTTGTTTCTGTGGATGCCTCTTCAAACAGATTGGGTGCTGTTCTCCTCCAGAAGTAAGCAGACCACATATGGAAACCTGTGGCATTTGCTTCGAAGGCTCTCAGTAACACAGAGCAGCGATACTCGCAAATAGAGAAAGAGGCGTTGGCCTCCACATGGGCCTGTGAGAGGTGTGCAGAGCTTCTCATTGGGAAAAGTTTCCAGCTCTCGTGTGTTTTCAGGATTTTCTGACCGACTGAATCTCTTGTCACAGTGTGAACACTTATATGGTTTTTCTCCAGTGTGAATCCTCTCATGCAGTTTCAAATGGCTCGCTGAAGTAAAAGTCTTCTCACACTCAAAGCACATGTACTCTCTCACACCAGTATGTATTTTCTGATGTATTTTCAAACTTTGTAGTAATGAAAAATTCTTTCCACACAAATAACATGAATGGGGCTTCTCCTTTGTATGAACTACCAGGTGTTTTTTAAGTTCTGAAGCTCTCAAAAATGTTTTTCCGCACTTCTCTCTAGTGTGGATGTTCATGTGATCCTTAAGATGTGCTGATTGTGAGAAACTCTTTCCACACTGATCACAAGTGAACGGTTTATTTCCAGTATGAACTCTCATATGTGCTGTAAGGCTTCCTTTTATTGTGAAACTCTTTCCGCACTGATCACATGTGTATGGTTTCTCTCCAGTGTGAATCATCTCATGTGTTTTCAGGGTTCCTGACCGACTGAATCTCTTATCACAGTGTGAACACTTATAATGTTTCTCTCCAGTGTGAATCCTCTTGTGCCGTTTTAAACACTTTGCTGAATTAAACATCTTCTCACACTCAAAGCACATGTACTCTCTCACACCAGTATGTATTTTCTGATGTACTTTCAAACTTTGTAGAAATGTAAAACTCTTTCCACACAAATTACATGAATGTGCTTTCTCCTTTGTATGAACTTTCAGGTGTGTCCTCAGGTATGAAGCGCACAAAAATGTTTTGTTGCATTGATCACATGCATATGGTTTCTCTCCAGTGTGGATGTTTGTGTGTCTCTTAAGGTGTGCTGAGTGTGAGAATCTCTTCCCGCACTGACCACAAGTAAACGGTTTCTCTCCAGTATGAACTCTCATGTGCTCCGTAAAGTTATTTTTTTTGTGTGAAACTCTTCCCGCATTGATCACATGTGTACGGTTTCTCTCCAGTGTGGATCCTCTCATGTGTTTTCAGGATTCCTGACCGACTGAATCTCTTGCTGCAGTGTGAACACTTATAAGGTTTCTCTTCAGTGTGAATCCTCTCGTGTATTTTCAGGGCTCCTGAGTGACTGAATCTCTTGTCACAGTGTGAACACTTGTAAGGTTTTTCTCCAGTATGAATTCTCATGTGAACATCAAGACTATATTTGCATGTTAAACTCTTTCCACACTGAGTGCAGGTGAAAGATTTCTTGGCTCTTGTTTTCCTTAATATTACCTGTTTGCTTTGACAGCAACTCAAAAGTTTTTCTCCAGTTTTGAATTGATTTTTCCCCTCAACTTTACTAAATTCTTCATTGTCCTCATTTTCTTCAGTCAACTCTGAAATAAAGGCAAAAACAGTTCCTTTGTCAGTAACTCATTAAAAAGGGAAAAGACATCAAACCGAACCCTGATGTAACAGCGGAAGGTAGACAATTGCTATTTTGAAATATTTTGATAATTTTGATGAAGTTTTATAAATACATCTAGTACATTTTATATATACGTCCCTGAAAATTTCCATGAATGAGGTACATTGATCTTCAAATTATGTTTTTTAAAACATTATAGGCACAAATCCCATGTTTCTGTAAGAATAATTTTAAATGT